TCAAAACAGGGAGAGGGGAGACTGAGGTTAGATTTTGGGAAGAAATTCTTCATTGTGAGGGTGGTGAGACACTGGCACAGGTTGTCCAGGGAAGCTGTGGCTGCCCCAGTCCTGGAAATGTTCAAGGCCAGGTTGGATGGGGCTTGGAGCAACCTGGTCTGGTGGCAGGTGTGCCTGCCTGTGCAGGGGGGTTGGAACTATATGATCTCCAAGGTCCTTCCCAACCCAAGCCATTCTGTGATGATGATGATGAAGACCTGTCTTCATCCCCTCTAGCCTGTTGGGTGCCAGGGCTGAAGCAAGACTGGGATGGTGACAGATGGACACAAAGCCAAAAATGAGACCTGCAGAGGAACCACAGGTGTCGGAAGTACAATTCCTTGATAATTTTCCTCCTAACACAACACAACTTTTGCTCTCCATCTCCGGGCACAGCCAAAACCTCCACTGAGGAAGCAGTTTGGACAAAACAAGAAAACAAAAAAGAACTACCTGTTTTATTTCTCACTAAATTTCATCTCGAGACCTTGTATTTATTTGCTGATGCTCCAAGAAGGAGATTCAACCTGCTGGGTTTTGATTCTTTATTTTAAAATGTTTTCAAAAGTAGCTGAAGTTTGGTTTCTTGAGGAGGAAAAAAAAAACAGAATGGTTTTACAGTTTTCAGGATGGCTATAAAACACACATGCTTTTCCAAATATTTGTACCAGGATAGAAAGTAATATGAATATATGCATCTATATATAAAAATAAATGATTTGGTATCAACAGATTCAACAATGACAATTTCAGTGAAGGAAAGTGGAAAAAAAAAGTAACATCACAATCTTCTAAATCCCTTTTTTAAAGGTGTTCCAAGTTTTTATCTTCCACTGCACGTGAAAGAGGGGAGGAGAACCACAAATGCCACTGAAATATGTTTCAAACAACTGAGGTTTGTGTCATTCACAGATGTCACCCTTCATCAAGTCACTGTGACAAGACAGATAGGAAAATGTCAGAAGTGCATAAGCTCTGTTTTTTACATAGCAAAGGATACGTATTTAAAGCACATATTTTACATTTTAGGGCTGTTACTTCACTTTACCCCATAATAATTGGTTTGGCCTACAATAAAATTGTAACTAATTGCAATAAAGCAACAGTCCAACAACAGAAACACTTGCTCAGCATCCAAAGCAGGCAGAGAAAAAGGCCAGGGCACAGAGAACAGGGTGATAACCAGAACCCACTGGAGCACTGATACCTTCCACAATTGCTGGGGCTGCGCCAGTCCTGGAAATGTTCAAGGCCAGGTTGGATGGGGCTTGGAGCAACCTGGTCTGGTGGCAGGTGTGCCTGCCTGTGCAGGGGGGTTGGAACTATATGATCTCCAAGGTCCTTCCCAACCCAAGCCATTCTGTGATGATGATGATGAAGACCTGTCTTCATCCCCTCTAGCCTGTTGGGTGCCAGGGCTGAAGCAAGACTGGGATGGTGACAGATGGACACAAAGCCAAAAATGAGACCTGCAGAGGAACCACAGGTGTCGGAAGTACAATTCCTTGATAATTTTCCTCCTAACACAACACAACTTTTGCTCTCCCTCTCCGGGCACGGCCAAAACCTCCACTGAGGAAGCAGTTTGGACAAAACAAGAAAACAAAAAAGAACTACCTGTTTTATTTCTCACTAAATTTCATCTCGAGACCTTGTATTTATTTGCTGATGCTCCAAGAAGGAGATTCAACCTGCTGGGTTTTGATTCTTTATTTTAAAATGTTTTCAAAAGTAGCTGAAGTTTGGTTTCTTGAGGAGGAAAAAAAAAACAGAATGGTTTTACAGTTTTCAGGATGGCTATAAAACACACATGCTTTTCCAAATATTTGTACCAGGATAGAAAGTAATATGAATATATGCATCTATATATAAAAATAAATGATTTGGTATCAACAGATTCAACAATGACAATTTCAGTGAAGGAAAGTGGAAAAAAAAAGTAACATCACAATCTTCTAAATCCCTTTTTTAAAGGTGTTCCAAGTTTTTATCTTCCACTGCACGTGAAAGAGGGGAGGAGAACCACAAATGCCACTGAAATATGTTTCAAACAACTGAGGTTTGTGTCATTCACAGATGTCACCCTTCATCAAGTCACTGTGACAAGACAGATAGGAAAATGTCAGAAGTGCATAAGCTCTGTTTTTTACATAGCAAAGGATACGTATTTAAAGCACATATTTTACATTTTAGGGCTGTTACTTCACTTTACCCCATAATAATTGGTTTGGCCTACAATAAAATTGTAACTAATTGCAATAAAGCAACAGTCCAACAACAGAAACACTTGCTCAGCATCCAAAGCAGGCAGAGAAAAAGGCCAGGGCACAGAGAACAGGGTGATAACCAGAACCCACTGGAGCACTGATACCTTCCACAATTAACTGGAATATTTCATCTCTCTCCTGCAAGTCAGATTCAGAAATTCAGCTCGTTCCTGCCTCCCCTTGCACAAGCAGCACCTTCCCTGTTTGAGGACCATCCGCTCCAAACGTTAGTTTTGCTGCTGCTGTTTTTTAACTCATTTCCAACATCCCAGCCCCAAACCACCCATCAGAACTCGTGCAGAAGACACTGCACGAGGTTCCATCTGCCAAAAGCCTCGCTTTTTTTTTTTGGTACAGCTGCCTTGTAAGAGGGTGCAAGGGGCAGAGGAAGCACAGCCAAGGATCCCTCGCAGGGTGCCAGCACGGGCCACTGCCTCCCTCTAGTGTCTGCAGCCGCATGAGCTACCAGAGTCCTTCCAGCTCTGGAAACAAGAGGAATCTGGTTTGGTCCTGGGAGAAATGACCCATCATTAATGTTTATAGACAGAGTATGAGAATTCAGCGAGGCCCGGGAGCGCCTGGTGAAGAGGCAGCCTCCAGAAACCCTTCTATAATTAACATTTAACCATTATGCAGAAACCCCCAGGCAAGCAGCTGCCTCTGCTTCTGCAGGAGAGGCCTGACGGCAGCAGGACAGGAAGATAAACTAGTTAGAAAGCCCTCATCAGCTTAACGTTTCTCCTCCCGTGCCTATGGAGTTCTCACTTGTTCTAGTAAGGCAGAAAGGTGCAAACATCACCTGGGCACGATGGCAGCAGTTCTATTTGTAGGAGGGACTGAAAAACACCCAGTTTGTGGGTCAAGGGCTGGTCACCCTCAGCCAGGAAGAGCCAGCAGTGGTGCAGGGATAGGACTTGGAAGAACCCCTGGTAAGGGCCCCTTCACTGACAGGGGGGATGAGGGAAAGGCAAGAGCACCATTGTGTCTGCATCTCAGCCCTGGTAATGCTTTAAAACAAATCCTTAATGAAAAATAAAAACCAATCCCATCCAGATGCAACCTTAAAAATGGTAAAAACTGGTAAAACATGAAGCTGTAAAATCAACACAAGTCAGTGGCTGAAGGAATGAGTGAAGTGGCAGTTCATGCAGCTGCAGATAAACAAGCAAAATTCTTTACTTCCCAATTTATAAGGTAAATATTTAGAGCAAATCTGTTTAATACACCAACAGGTCACTTTGAAATGCTGCTTTGGGCTGAACTCTTGCCCCACACCCCAGAACTGATGAGATCACTAGTCTTTCTGCAGGATTCCAGGCTGAGTCTAACAAGCAGAACAGCATCCATGTTGCTCCTAGCCTTACTCACATAAATACATTCATGGCCATGGGGATTAATAATTAAAATATGCTCTTTTCTATTAATGTAACATTACTTTTTGAACAGCCCAACTGACAACTTCATACACTCAACATTGATCCCTGTAGCTTTTAGGCCTCCCGAAAGCTGATGTGTTTTGGAAGCCACTTCAAGGTGAAACCATTTGAGATCTAGGTTCTGGAATCCCTCTCACTAGAAGCGTTCAAGGCCAGGTTGGGTGAGGCTTGTGCAGCCTGGTCTAGTGGGAGGTGTCCCTGACCATGTTGGAGGGTTGGAACCTGGTGATCTTTAAGGTCCCTTCCAACCCAAACCATTCCATGATTCTGTAAGTCAAGGAGCAACAGCATCCTGCACTTTGTGTAGTAAGGACTTTATCTGAAAATCCCTATTTTAAGACTGAATTTCTACTGAAAGAAGGCTCTACTGTAAACATTTCATAAGATCTGGAAATAAAAATGCTGGTGTAAGGGCACTTAATCAAATGTGGCCTGAACACAGACAGGCATGACCAGCATGGTACAAGAGTGTGTCTTTCCTTACATTTGCTGCTTTCAACAAGAGGAAAAATAACCACTGAAGGCAAATCTGAGGGACTGCCTCAAAAAACACCAATGACAAAGGATTCACCCTGTAAAGGAACATGGGGCAGGAATACTGTGATAAAACTTGAGGAGGAAAATATCCACAGAAAATAAACCAAGCTCAATAAACCTGCATTAGTTGTGATTATAAGGATAATTGCTCTAATTCTGCAGATATTGTCAAGAACAGGAGATCATCAGCTGTTCATTTCTCTGCAGTGCTTTGACAATTCATACACACTTCTGCATTTCTCAAAACAGAAACTGAAAGCAACTCTTTACCCTCAGAACAAGGGTGGCTCAGGAGAGCCCACACATGTGGGCTGCAGCACAGGGCAGGGGACATTGTCCCTGGCTGGGAACCCCCTGACCAGGCTGCCAAAATATGTCATTCTCAGGGCACTGGCTGTTCATAAGGCAGGAAACGGAGTCTGAAACCTCAGTTCCTGCAGCTCTCCAGGTAGCCATAGGATTTCACTGGGATTCTAAAAAAAACCACCAACCCTAAATATTACTATAGCCACTGAACATCTTTTAAAATAATAAAAAATATTTTTTAAGAAAGCCTGGAGTTTGAGGCTCTCATTAAACACTTACAATAGAGCCTTCTTGTATTAGACACTCAGTCTTTAAATGTTTATTTGCTGTATTTTCAGTGAAAGTGCTTACTACACAAAATGCTGGATGCTGTAGCTCACTGCCTGGAGCAGCAACACCCACACAGTTGCTTTATTTCCCCTTTCAAGTTAAAAGAAAGTGCTAGAGAAAACCCTTTGCTCCCGGTGACAGGCTCCAAACACCAGCTGCAAGGATCCAGGTTCTAAAGGGGTAGAAGACCCTGTGTGAATGACACCACGATCCAAAGGCACCACCAGGACAGATGACAAGAGAGCACCTGGCTCTCCTGACCTGGCATCATGGCAGCAGGAGGGATTTTGCCAGTCTCGTCCAGAACCACTTCTTGGTGCAGGGGTTGGTGTAATCACAGATTGTAATGAACCGCAAGATGCTTGGGAACTCGTTCTTCATGGATTTGCACTTGACTGGAATCAGCCGCTTGAGACGAGCACCTGGAAGACAGGTCAGACAGGCAGGGGATCACATGGAGCCACACTCAGGTCCTCTACCCCACTTTCTCCCCACAGCAGCACACACATCCCAAGATCCAGGTTTGCTCCCAGTTTTGTGTCATCTCATTATAGTTCAGCTGGCTCTCACCCTGGACAGCAGGTTTCTGAATCCCAAGCCCTTCTGCTAAGAATGTTTCACTCAAACATTGCAGGGCCCCATCCAGCCTGAGCTGATGGGAGTGATAAAGGCCCTAATGAACTGCAGACATAAAAGAACAGAGTTTTTTTTGTGCAATGCAAACAGGAGCATCCAGCCCTGACTGCTTCTCTGTGTGTACCAATCAAAAACTGAGCCTAAGCTGTTTCTAGCTGGTCAGGTTTGGTGGCTTATCTCCAGTTCTCTCTTCCTACCCTGATATACAGGCTGCAGATGTTACCCAACAAGGGGCTGCAAGGAATTGCTCTGCTAACACCAGCTGCTTTTCTGAGGCATGCATGAGATGGGAGCCCTCTCCCTGTGGTTGCTACTGCATGAAGAAGCAGATCAGCTGAAGAGGAATCTCTCCCTTTAATATTCTGCACAGGGACACCTGCTACCAGCTAAACAACATTGCCCAGCCCACATGATGACACTGGACACTAAGTGAGGCAAGAAACCCAAGATTTTGTAACTGCAGCAGATGCTTAAGTAATCTGTGGAGCTCCCAGAACTTGCCACCAAACCCTTCTGTGTGTTAGTTACCCCACACAAACAAGAACCTCTTGTGATTTCTGCAAGCATGCACTTAACACGTTTTTACTGGTCACACTCAGGTCATTACAGATGAGCATTTCTTTTCCTGATGTTCTAACAGAAGGTATGATGCCAACAGAAAAATAGTGAAGAACTAAAAGGGCTTTGCTACAAATCTTGATGATTAGGGGCTGATGCAACATGCTAGAAATGTTCAATGGATTAACAGCCATCCTGTGAAAACACTGTGAAGGAAGATGGAGCTAATCCCTAGCTCTGCCACTGGCATGTCATTTATAAAACCATGTCAAGTACCTCATCTAGAAAAGAGACTCTACAGGCAGACACTCCTACAGATATTACATGTCCTCTGCACTGTCAGGTTGAGCTGCACTAACTCCCCAGTAACACACACAAGTGTAGACAACAAGTGGTTAGAGAAAAGCAACCTGAACAGACTTGAGAGAAATAAATTGATGGCTTTGCAGTTCAGAACAAAATACTGAACTGATTTTTTCAATCCAAGTTGAACATTCATTCCCTGTTTTGTTTGATCCTTGCCACGAGTCAAAGATCTCTGCAAAAAGCTATAGGTTCATTACCTGCTGCCCTACTCTCAGCATTTACTCACACTTCGTATTTATTGTAATATTTTCTCTTCAGAACCATATTTCCTGTGGGGGTCTTGAAGCATTTGACAAGCCTGTCATGCAGCTACAATGTCACTGAAGCAGGCAGCATCAACCCACTTCATATCTGGAGCACTGGAGCACAGACAGCTAAGCTGCTCACTCATGGACATGCAGAAGGTCAGTGGGAGGGCAAGGGACCAAGTCCAGGTCCCTGCCTGCACAACCAAATGAAAAAGCCACTGTTAGTTTCACTGGCTGCTTCTAACAGTGACAAATCTGTTTGCTTAGTGCAGGGCACTGCACCCAGGGCAAGCCCTGTGCCTGGGTGGACTTTCACACACATGACATGTAGGTCAGTGGTGGGAACCCAGGTCTGAGATGACTGAATCGTAGAATCACAGAATAGTTCAGGTTGGAAGGGACCTTAAAGATCATCCAGTTCCAACCCCCCTGCATGGGCAGGGACACCTCCCACCAGACCAGGCTGCTCCAAGCCCCATCCAATCTGCCCTTCAACACTGCCAGGGATGGGGCAGCTACAGCTTCTCTGGGCAACCTGGGCCAGGGTCTCACCACCCTCATAGTGAAGAATTTCTTCCCAATGTCTAACCTCAGGTTTCCCTCTTCCAGCTTTTTTTTTATTACTCCTTGTC